GATGTGCATTTAATTGCATTGCGCAATGCGAGAATTTGTTATATTGTTTATATTCGATGCAGGCTGGTACACTTTGTACTCTGCTCCACGCTGTTTCCTATTTGCATCAGCCCCGTTCGAACGGGCAATAATAATAGAACGGATTCTTTCTCATAAATTACTGCAGAACTATAAACTTTAATTTCCGACTGACAATGCATGTGGACAGTTAAACGTTCAAGTCGTAACATCCTCATTGGCCCGTTGTATTTGCATAACATGTATGTGTAGAGGATTATAGGCGCTTTCCTTTACCACCACGGACGCGTACGATCCGCTATCTTCCAGATTTCTCTCTCGCGTTATCTGCGCCGATATTTACAGATAACCCGAAGAACTTTTTTCGTGGGTGAAGCTGGATCGATCGAAACATTCGATTCGATCCCATTACGATCGTGTTGCGACGATGTACTCGGAACTTTCGTATAAAGGGAATTCCTAGAGTTTTCCTACATAAAAGTACAGAACTGCTTCGATACTTGATTCTTAACCCTTCGCCTTGCAATAACGTGTCGTACTCGTGGCGACGATTTTGAACAGAATTTAACAAGCATAAACATTACTCGATTCTCTTGAATTTAAACGAAATACTCCTCTTCTCTCATTAATCATTATACTTCAGAGCAGACACGGAATATTTCTAGAATTTTTGTCTTCGCGATATATTATTAATAAAGCACGTATCGATCATAGTCGAGAAATAAACCATAAGAGATTAACATACAATACGTCGTTAACATTTTCCCAACACGATCTACTAGCGAGGCATTACCGTACACATTGCGTATCACGAGAGAAGCGAAGTTCCGTCGACGAGCTATCCGACGAACTGGTAACGAAGCATTACCGTACATATCGATGCAAAGACACTACGATGAATGTACAGCGGATTTCGATATCGATTTTCGCGCGACCAAGACGGAGGTGTTCCAGTGGTCGAAAAACGGAATGTTTCTAACGAATCGCGTGGTCATTACGAAATATCAGCGTCCTCTGAACTTGAACTTAGAATCTTCCTCTAGTAATTAACGACGCTTCGGCGATGCTGATGGTCCCCCGTGCGGAAACGGTGGGTTCCACGCGTTACCGGTTTTATTGGACCTTCCGGCGTGAGTGTCGCGCTCAAGTTACTTCGCCGTTATAACGTCCAGGGTGACTATCTGGTTAACGCCAGTTCGTATGCTCTTTCCCACATTTATAAACGAGACGCGTGAACATTTTCCCCTGCGCACCGGTTCCACCACGTAACTGGCGTAAACGCGCGCGCTGCCAGCGGACGGTTCCCGGCCACTTAAACGTTTTCAGCGTTTCACGGATTAAGAAAAAGCGAAACGATACGTTTTGATGGCCCGTTTCAAAATTCATTCACTCTCGGACGTATGGAAGTTACGAAAATTTTATGGACCGTTTAGTAATAAAACGACAACGTGAAAGGAACGTTACGTCATCTTTCGGTCGGAAGAACTTTTATTTATTTCTCTGCTTTCGATGAAATTCCTTCGGTCCTTTACGAAACATTGCGCATCTTCGCGGAGCGATCTTGAATTTAACGGAAAAAAAGAGTTTGACTCTTAACCCTTTGCACTCGACAATATTTCTCATTACGAACGTTCATTTTCTGGCGAAATGTTAATATTATTTGCAACTTAAAGGAATATCTTGCATCAGTTATGGGGAGGAATTGTTTTATTTCTGTGTTTCACGTGTTGATACCTTATTCGATATTTCATATTGAATTTTTGTTTCATAATTTAACTAACCTACGTTCAATCAAATGGCGACATGATAAAGGGAAATGCACGTAATGGGAAAAATATAATATTAAATCATTTGATCGAATTGCATTACTGTTCCACGTTCATCTAGCTGGATGTCGTCGTATTAGATAACATTATTTATAATATAGGAATATTGTCATATTCATCGTTTAATTGAGTGAACTATAGTAATTCGATTTGGTCGGGGGTCACCGGTGACCCCATGGCATTCGACGTGTTAAATAAACTTGGCCGACTAAATCGACGTTTTCCTGGACGAACGAACATCTACAGCACAGAGCCTGTCGATGCTCGTCGTCTGCGCTGGGGAATGTAAGAACATAGGAAGCAATAAATTGCGACGTCTTCATCTTAAAATAATCCACGTTGAGTAGGCCCCGTTTTCTAGTGTAAGTCTCTAAATTTCGATTCCGAGGCATTCGGCCACGTAGAACGGAACGGTTTGCCAATGCTAAGTGTTCGCCTCGCGCGATGTGACTCACCCGAACATCATCCTTATCTCCGACCGTATTGTTTCTAAACGTGTTTGTTAGCAATGTAATAATGTCCCGGACACGAGCCGATACGAACAGGAGAGCCTGTAAAAGTGTTCGATGCATTTTCGTTGGTCACCTCGCGGACGATCGTGAAATCCGCGTAATAGGAATCATTGTCACGAGAAAGAGAAATAATAGTAACAGGAAAAATAAATAATGGATTAAATAATCGAATAATTTTGAAAGTTCACCCTTTGCACTCGGAAGTTTCTCACTAGAAACACTTTAACATATTCGGACGAGATGAAGACGATATTCTGTGAAACTCGAAGAGAAATCACGCGTACAGGAATAAAGCTGTTTTATTTCAATATTTCTCAAATTGATGCATCGTACGAGGTATTATATTAACCCTTTGAACTCTGTAGGCTCCAATATTGCACCAATTATAATATTAACCCTTTGCACTCGGAAGTATTTAGCATCTTTATATAGCATCAAAGACGATGTTTTTTTTAAAAGAACTCAAAGAGAAATCACAAGTAAATTGAGAAACGAAGCTTTTTTATCCCGATATTTCACACACCGACGCATTATACATAGTTCAATGTTAAATATCAAATTTTATAGTTTTACTGCATCGAATCGAGTGGTGACCGAGAGTCACTTTTCGAGTGCAAAGGGTTAAATGTTTCAAAGAATCTTAAAGAAACTACCCTAAAATTATTAGATCTTCCACGCATCCAAATTTTGCACTGAGAAGGAAAATAAATAGATTACAAAACAAAAATGAATAGATAGATTACAAAACAACTTAAACAACTTCATTTTGCATCACAATGGAAATGAATGCTATTGCATCGAGATTTATAAGCCACATTTTCACGAATTTGATTCTATATAGCCTTAATTCCTTGAAATTATTATACACTTTAACCCTCGGAGTACGGCATCTGCATTTTTCCAATCTTTGCGGCTCAATAAAATTTGTACTGTCCGCGTTAAACATGAAATTTTATAGTTTCACCGTATGAAATCAAGCGGTGAATGAGAATCACCTCTCGAGTGCGAAGGGTTGAAATTCATTTTTATTGTTTACAAACAGAAAATCGATGGCTCGCCGTTCTGAAGCGGTGAACTTCGAGCTCAGAGATCGTTTTACCTACGGCAAGGAAGCAGCAAGCAGGAGGAGGCACATTTCCTTGCGAAATCGATCAGACGATGACGTTCGCACGACTTGAGAGACGCGAGCATTGCGAAACGGTCTCGAAGACGCGTAATTTTCACTGTTGCGTCTTAGTTGTAAACCATCTTTCGTCTGGAAAGACGAGAAGACACTCCTCCGATGAGTAGAGGACAGTTTTAGCAAGTCTTTTCCTCGTGTCGGACTTAGCGACCTCTTTTTGTCGTCGAGTTCCGGAAGAAAAGATGGAAATGATGATCGTATCTCGAACCGATTGACACGCGAGTTATATAAATAGAGGCTGCCGTCACACGTTTAACGAAAATATAGTTACATTAAGGCGTATGGTAATGAGTTGTGTCGAGGAGTTTAGCAAACGTCGCTCTTGTGAAACCTGTACTAGTTGACGCTGGGTCCGCGAGCACGTTGGTTGCTCGGTTTCGACCGAAAATCATCGCTTTCGCCCTGTGTCGTCCTTAGTCCTGAAGATTTTCGTTCTAGATCACATCGAGTGACTATCTTGGGTTCAACGTAGACGCCTGCTCGCTGAATCACATCTTTGCATGCGACTCTCGTCTTCAGCGCTCCATTTCGCTTTATCCATTTATCAATTATTCTGTATTTTGTATTTTTAATTTTCTACTGTCCCAGAACAATGGAAATATCCTACCGAAACAAGATGAATGCAAATAATTTGATTGTTATGAAAATTATGCACGCGAAATCAATTTAACGCGTTGACTGCCACGAGAATTTCGAGCGTTTTGTTATAGTAATGTTAACTTCCTTATAATAGAGGAAAATAGTGTTAGAAATAATTATTAATGTTTTGGTATTATACACGTGTAACACTATTTAGCTTCTTGTGTTACTAAACGTTTCGATTCAATATCAATTTTCTTATTGTAGTTGTTTTCAAGCAATTTCGAAGCTCGATCACCGGTGATTACCATGGCTAAATTATATATTTATTAATTAAATTAAATTATATATCAATCGCTTAAACGATGGAAAAAGGGAAACTACGTGCCGATCTCTTGCTGTTTGAGTAATTGAATCATCTGCTTGCGACTTAGTCTTTGAGTTTCATCTCGACAAACTGTCGACATTCGTCCGCAAAGGGTTGAGTTCGAGCCTGAAAGAAAATTAGCTACCAATCGCAATAGTTAAGAATATAACAGTCACTTGTTGACGTGTAACAATGAATTCTGCAAAGAAAAGAGAACTCGAAACATTTCAGGATAGTTTCACTATGAATTATGCCGTTTATTATGTTTTATTTCCTCGGTAGGCCCAGCTGTTGAGAGTGCATCTCATTATTTCCTTGTAAAATGTGTAAAAACACATTTATCGAGTGTTCAGTCCCCTTATATTCTAGTTTGTATTTATCTAAATCAATTTATCGAATAATTTCTCAAAAAATCGCCCGTCTGTTCCATAATTACAAAAGAAGCGACACGAAATGGGTCAGAACGATCCGTTTGGCAGTTCTAATGTTAAAACGACGGTGTATGTTGATTTCAGATGAACCACGTTCAAGGTGTAGATCATGGGATGACGTAGGACCGACGAAAATGGAAACTGTCGGGCAAACGCACAGACAGCACCACCCTACCTTGAAGGCGACTAGGTCCAACACTTCGACACAGTCGGCCAGAAGCGAGGACTCGTGGTGCTCGGCGTCTGATCATGACCTCTCCTCGGACGACGAGAGCGAGAAAAGCAATATCAGTATTAAGTAAGCGTCACGGCTTCGCTTTGCAAACCAGGGAATTAACATTTTCCTTTCAGCTTGAACAGAAAATTATAATTCACCATGGAGCCTTGGCAACCTGAATAGCGTCAATCTTTATTAACGCGTTGACTGTTAGGAAAAACAAGAATCTCTTTATATATATAATAATATATATTATATATATTAATAATATATATTATTATATATATAAAGAGAGAGAGCTTCAAAATTATAAGAAAATAATTATAACCTACAAGAGAGCCAAATAAATATATATATATATCACTTATCTTTTTCCTATGAAAAATAAAAATGAAGAATTATTAATTATTTGGTATCACAATTCTTACGTTACGCTATTATTTTGTTATTTACGCTACTGAACATATTTATTTGGCTATCTTGTAAGTTATAATTATTTTCTTGTAATTTTGAAGCTCCGGTCACTTAACCCTTAGCACTCCAGGTTATTCAGTAATCTATCAGCAACTGCAACTAATTTTTATAATGTTCCCAGCGAAAACGAGAAATGCTATAACATTTCTTTGATCTTTTATTTTCCTTCTGAGTACGAAATTTGGATGTGTGGAATAATTTTAGGATAGTTCTTCTTTAAGATTCATTGAAATATTTAATATTATAACTGGTGCAATATTGGAGCCTACAGAGTTCAAAGGGTTAACACTAAAACTACCGAGTCATATTGACTCTCCTGAATTTCTCTATAGAAATTCTAAGAATACATCTATTAGGATTTCGATTGACGTATACTTCAGTTCGCGTGTTAAATTAATTTCTTTAGTAATTTCTCAGCTTACAAATGGGTAAGCTTATAAAATGTATGGAATTTTTAAGTTAGGTTCCTGTATACACTAAAAATGTTCTTGCATTGTTTAACAGTAAAACTACCGATCACTTAAACTGACTTTTTCAGATTCTCTTACACAAACTCCAAGAGTGCATCAATTAAGACTTTAACTGATTACCAATTTAGTTTGCGCATTGTTGCATCAGTTCCTTTATTAATTTCTTAGAGAAACAGCTGTTATCTTTTTAATAATTGCAAAAAGAAAAAATCAGGAATGGGTCATTTTGATCCGTCCGGTAGTTTTAGTGTTAAAGAGAAACATGTTGGTCTCTTTCAATATTCAACTATTCTAGAATGATCTGTTCAAATTGTATAAATTTGTTGATGCCTTGAGAGGAAGCTTTTAATTGTAGCTGTTTACCTCTTCATTCTACCCCTATGTGTATCTGTGATTAATGTAACGACCCGTTGCAGAAGTAACTGCCAGTTAAGGAGCACGTTGCACAAAGCAAGGACACTCTGCGACAAGTGGAGGTCGCAGAATATGCGAGTGAACAACACTGACCCATTGGACTCGCCTGGGAACCACGGAAGACTGTCAAGATGGTTCAGCATCCGACGAGGATCCACGCAGCAGTACGATGTCGATTCGTCGGACACGGTGTCTCTCACGAGCCCAATCAAGACTCCTCAGATGCCGCAGCTCTGCGAAGTAATTGCGTTAGCTATTGTCTGGAGCGTTCTCCCTCGTTGAATATATTCCCATACGACAAAAGAATCGTTCTTATTAATTTGCCTTCAACGTTATAAGAGGCAACATGTCAAAACTATCCACCATTTTCTTCTTATATAAAAGCCAGTGTCGATAAACTCATCGTTGTTTCTCTTTTAACACTATTTCCACTAAAGATGTCAAATGACACCTGAAATTTTATCTTAAAATTATTTTTTTAGTTTAGTCGTATTCTGAATTGACTTCTCGACTTTTCCAACGACAATTATAAAATTAACTACAGGAAACGTCTAAAATTCAATTGAGGACAAATTATTAAGCTGAGAAAATAATTTTAAATTAGAACTTCAAAAGGTGTAAACGTGATAAAATTGACAAACGTAATAAAGACGTTCACCTTTTCGGCACTGGTCAAAATTGTAGAGGGTTTGTGCTTTGTAAAATCTATTGGGAGCTACTGTAGCTTCTCAAGCTTCTTATTATATCCAAATTTCGAATTCTGTTTATTCGCGTAAGTTGCACTGGAATGTACATAAATTGTTTCTTATCGTTTTCTTTGTTGTATGAAATATATATTAATAATATTATTCGTATTTCCCTCAGGTCGAAGAGGAGAACAGCGCTATGGTGCAATTCCAGTGCATGCAACAACGTCGTCAAACGCCACCAGCCCTTCCGCCGACACCTCCGAATTTAACTCCGCAGCAACTGAAGCGTCGGCATATAGTGGCCGCCATAGTGCACTCGGAGAACGGTTACGTGTCGACGTTGCAGAGGCTAGTGAATGTATGTGTCGAACTAGATCCATGAAACTCTGGTGGTTATTTAACTGTTCTTTGGTTATTAGGGTCGTTTTATTATATAAGCTTGCCGGGCATCTAGATAGCGCTTAGAGTCTGCAAGCATTATGATACGGCCTTCCAAAGAATCAGAGTTTCTTTTGCTAAAAATACGCTGCTTTCCCGTTTTAGGATTACAAAAAACCATTGGAGGAATCCTCGCCGCCTATATTAAGCCAGGCAAAAATAGCGACGTTGTTTCATAGATTGCCGGAGATTTTGCAGTGTCACACGTTATTCAGAATCGCGCTCGCGGAATGCGTCCGCTCATGGGACAAAGATGAGAAGCTGGGCGACGTGTTCGTCGCCAGTTTCAGTAAAGCAATCGTATTAGACATTTACAGCGGCTTCATAAACAATTTCTCGGTTGCCATGGACTTGGCTAAACAGGAGTCGAAACGGAAGACTGCGCTCGCTGACTTCTTTAAGGTAGATGTATGAAGATTATCTAAAAGTAGAGATAAGCTCGAAGAATTTCAGTGATGGATTTAGTTGAGTGTGTCTTAGTTATTACCAGTTACATTTAATACAAATTATTTTGATGCTACAGGTCAAACAAATAAGTGCACATGACAGATTGTCCTTCTTTGGATTAATGGTGAAACCTGTGCAGAGGTTTCCGCAATTTATATTATTCCTACAGGTAAGCGCAACGTCGAATCAGCGATGAAGTCCATTTATTAATTAGACCGTTGGAGTAATGTTAAATTTCACTAGGATTTATTGAAACACACACCGCAAGGACACCACGACAGAATGTCGTTGCAGTTAGCGTTAACTCAACTGGAAAGCTTAGCAGAGATGTTGAATGAAAGGAAACGTGAAGCGGAACAGTTCCAAGCGTTCAAAGAAATGTTGCGACACGTCTCCGGGAAATTGTCTCATCGTCCTCTATCATCATCGTCCAGGTACCTTATAAGGGAAGATGACGTCACACAATTGGTACGTACGAAGTTATAGAAAATCGAAACAGAATCGAGAGATTCCTATATACGATCGTTGTCATAAATGTTTACAGGAATTCAATCAAAATGGTATGATCACGAAATCTAAAAGACGAAGGTTGTTGTTATTGAATGACCTCGTGGTGTGCGTTTCGGTAACACCGCGATCTGCAGAGGACTTTAGCGGAAGCGAAAGACTCACTTTAAAATGGACGTATCCTGTGTCAGATATTGAGGTATATTAAATAATTTGTTTAACACGTTCGCTACCAGTGTCACATATTTCTGACGGACGCAATCTTATATTTTACACAAAGCAAATGAAATTAATCTTATAGATATTGTTATTTAAAGTTATAGGCATTATATTTAGGAACTCAGTAACTCGTTTCAGTTTCATTTCTTCGATATTTTGTTTAAAAGATTTATTGGATTGAATAAAATATTACAATTGGGTAGGTCCTCGCCGAAATAAATGCTGGCAGCGAACGTGTTAATAAGACGTGTTACATAAAACCTAAGAATAACGTAATATTAATATGAAACAATTGAAAACTTAGATTCAGGATACAAGTACTTCGCCAACATTAAGTCGTCTGTTGACCGCTGGTCTGAACAAAGGCGGCAGCCTGAAGTCTGACAAGAGTGGAGAATGTGGACAAGCAGGTGCAGATAATCTTTGTGTAGAAATGAACGACCTCATGCACGATTACGAAGTGATGTCCAGGATAAGTGATCTAGTTGCACAACTGAAGGGTAAATATGAGGTAAGAAAAAACTACTAGCTCTTGTCACTTAAAATTATCAAGACAAAACTAATCGTACGAATACGTTTTTAACCTGCTTATCCTACATGTTCATAGGGGATGACGTTAGAGAAAACCAAACAAATTCTCCAATCCATACAACTTTCAATACAACAGAAGGACGAGGACATGGTTTGGGCCGATAGCTGTTGCTTACAATTGGTGACAAAGCAAGGACAAATGTACACTTTCCAAACTGAAAATCCCCTAGTAAAGAAAGACTGGATAACTGAGCTTAGGCTAGCTCAATTGGCATTGGATCCAAATAATTCTCCTTCTTGGGAAGTACCTGAACAAGAACAAAGGCCTTCAACGAAGATGCCATTGTTTGTTAGTTCCCAGCAGGTGTACCACTCGCAACATCAGACAGAAGTGAGATATTACAAAAAGTTACTATTCATTGGATCACCTCATAAAGAGACGTCGTTTCATCATAAAGTATAACTTCACGCGATAGAACGTATCCTACATTCAACTATTTTCAGGTACGTTGCGGCTGTTACTACACCACACAAAATCCACGACCCACGAGGCGCCGTGGCAGAAATCAAAGCTACCTATGGATCTGCACCGGAGATGGTATATCCAGTCACGTGACAATATTCGGTCAGTCCACAACAGCTTCCGCAACATCCTTGAAACAAATAACATCGTTCGACTTGGTAGAAACCAGAGTGGCTGCGGTGGAATTCGTAAAAGGTGTCTCGTCCGAGTCATTATCACTGGCGAATGATCTCGTATGGATGGGCACGGATTCCCGGAAGATTATCATCTACGCTGCTTCGGAGCCGGAGAAACAAGAAGAACTAGGCAATTATTCCGTATCGGGGCCGGTGATACAGATCAAGTATCACTGCGACAATGTTTTCGTCGCGCTGGGCATTGGTCTGCTCCTTCTGTTCAGAAGACAACTGGACGGCACATGGAATCTCAGAGATCCACAAGTGATATCCTTGGGTAGTGAACCTGTGTCCTGTTTAATGCCGATCAACGCATCCGTTTACGCGGCTTGCGGTAAAAAGGTTTGGGTACTTAACGGAGTCACCGGTGACATCACGAAAAGCTTCAGCGCTCAGCACGAACATGTTGGCAACGTGAAACTGATGGCGCATTCCGGTGTAGGCCTCTGGGTCGCCTTGAAGAACTCGAGTACCGTGTGCTTGTACCATACGGAAACATTCAAGCACCTACAAGACATCAACATAGCGTCGAACGTTCTAAGGGTAACCAGATCGAATAACACCTCAAACTCTTGTGGCGATAATCTGAACAATAATCAAACCACGGTCACAGTGACAGCGCTGTTGGCATGTAAGGGACTCCTCTGGGTTGGCACAAACGTGGGTATTAGCCTGACGATTCCTCTCCCACGCTTGGAGGGGGTGCCCATTATCAGCGGTCGCGTCAACATATCTTATCACGCGCACTTCGGCCCTATAACCTTCTTATTGGCTATCCAGAATCATAAGAATACCATAAACTGTGCGAACGACGACATCACGGATGAGGAAACCGTACAGTTGCGGAATAAGGAAACCGAGAACCGCAGCAGCAGAGACAGGGCAAGCTTAGATTCCTCCATGTCGAACAGCATCGTGAAATTGAAGCAACAGCTGGCGAGTAGCCCAGTAATGTTGAGACGGAAACGAAGCAAGGAGTACGAGTATAGAGGTTCGAAAACGCTTCCGAGGGGACTAGGTTCCGGTGGAGGATTTCTGTCCAGCTCGATGTCTGGGTCACAGAGTTCCGGCGAGAACTGTGACGTTTACGGCTTGTACGGTGAACTGATGTACGTTAAGGATTACGAGAATGAAAACAGCTCTGGCATCGATCCAATATACGAGTCCTTGAGGCGAAGCGATCCAGAACTGGCAGCCATACCAAATAAAGTTAGTACCTTAGACCGTAGACTGAAAATGAAGATCACCAGGCCTAGATCGTTGGACCTATCCAACTGGTCAGTGGACTCGCACGCCAGTTCTCTTTACACGTCTTCCGGCTCAGAGGAGAACCTATCCTTGAAGACTGGCAAACTGTCGCGCAACAGTAGCACAGCCAGTCGAAACGGACCGTACGAAACAGCCACACCGAATAGCAGCATAGGACAATCGGTGGCAGAAACAATACCATCTAACAATATAAAGTCTAACGGGAAGAAGATAAACAAAACTTTGCAACAGATAGAACAACCAAAACGGACTGTTCTGACGTTGATGGGCGGCAGAGGTTACATCAATTGGAGGCAGCTCAACGCTCAGCCTGTTGTCGACAAAGGCTCCAAGTCTGGTTACACGTTCAAGGATCCTAACAGTAACGACGCCCACATCGTGCTATGGGAGATGAAGTTATGATACTCAGTTACGCTAGGCCTACCGTTACGGCTGCGTCAGTATGGATAGAAATATGCTATTTGAAAAGTCGGTAACGATAACGTTCGTCGACAATTAGGACCAAAAATACTGTTGAACTGATATATATCTCATTTTAAGTAATAAGGTTACTCGGTAGGGATTTGTTAATCACGTAGCGCGATTTTAAGTCAGGTGTTCATTGAGAATTGTTTTCACACTACAATGAAAGATAGGTATATACTGAGTCGCGAATATAATGTCCTTACCGTGTCAGT